CAATTATAAACCAGTAACTATATACATAACAATTATATCTGTTTTTCATTGAGTAAGTAGTAAAACTAATTGTTTGTTTTGTGTTTAGAAAATGTATTTGAGTTTCTAGAAAAGCATATATTATATTATTTTGACTAGTAATCAGTCATTTTATTCACAACTCATTCTCAGTTTAAATCGTTACGAAACTAAAGCTTAATATTATTACAACTTTTTTTATCGAGTTATAGCCAATGGCTCGGAGATGTATATAAAGTATTGGGCATTAATTTTGAGTGCAATTTCCAAATTCCTGATTTTTCCAACCATTTATAGAGTCATAAATGTTCACATTTTCTGACAAAAAACATTGCATCAAATAGTCATTTATAAGGCTAAGGAATAATTGGCGGTCAATATATATACAGTCCATTAACCATCTCTGGTATTATCCTTCATCAACATCTATCAGATAACAGGTATAAAACACTTATAACTCTGAGAATGGATTACTAATTAATGCCTACTTTTTATTTAAAATGCTATATTATTTGTATTTGTATTGATTAGAAACAAATAATAATGTATAAATGTATTGAATTGCATTGAATCTACCGTGGTGTTTGAAAATGAGCATAATTTGTTTGATTCTATACCACACGAGTGTATAAAAGGAATGTATTTTTATTATTATTATTATAAATTCATTTCAATTCATAATTTTTCATTTATAAATCTTAATAAGTTAACCGATAGTTAATAGTATATAACTTATGTCACCCATGAATGCAAAAAGGTTTTGTGAAAAAACTAAATTTCATCTAAAAAACAATTTTCAATTTCAGTTATCTATAGCTCCGTCGACAGCTTTATCCTATTGGTCTGATTGTGGGCTAAATTCACGTTGTCCTCGATGTTGACAATTGTGCACTGAGTCTGTGTATCACTGGATTGGTGTTGCATTAGGTTGACGGCTGTGGCGGTGGTGGTCGGGGGTCGTGGCGACGGCGGCAGAGGACTGACCACATTCTCGGTGGAGGCTGTGTTCCAACTGTTTCGCGACGGCTTATAGGGCGACACATCTCGGGATGAGGCGAGACTCTGGATGGTCAGCGAGTTCTTCAGCACACTGTCATCCGAGATGCTCTCGTTGTCCACATCTATGCGCGAGCAGTGACTCACGCCTGTCATGAATCGCATCCTCTCCTCGTGCGACGAGCTGTGGGTTGGGATCGGATATCGAGTGATCAGTGATTTGTCTCTTTTAGGCCACTCTTAACCTCATGAGCGCATACCTGGAACTGTAGCCCGAGTTGGGTGGCGGTGAGCCCGAGTCGGTGGTCGCCCACTTGCATAAGAGGTCATCCAATAGAGATCTGTCCGTTTGTGTGCCCGAAGAGGTCTTATTGAAGTATTTCGATCCGCATATATTGGATGAGTTGAGAGACAATCGCTGCGTCTCTTTGAGCATTGGTTGACATAAATTATTTCTGACCGCCGTTTTCGCGGACATCGAGTCCAACGACTGATTCAAATTGGTGTCGATGTGATGCGTGGTCTCCTCGTTTAAATGGTATAACTTCTGCAGTATAAACATCATTGTCTTCATGTCGTGACTCACTTTGTCCACGTCTTCGGTGAGCGTCGAGAGCTTAGTGTCGAGCTCTTCGACGCCCGTCTGCGTGATCTTCAGCTGATCCCTGACGTCGACGCTGTCCGCCGACGACATGGACGACGACATGCGGATGTTTTTGATGAAATTAATTCTGGGCGTCATGTGAGCCCTCCGGGCGGACAGTATCGGCGCGTTCTCGGCGTTCGTCTTCGACTCCCACACGGCGTGTGTGTTGTTGAAGGCGATGGCCGACGACCCGCCCGGCGGCGACTGCGGCGGCGAACCGCTATCGTCGCTGTCGTCGCGCCCCTCGCGCTCGTCGTCCTCGTCGTCGTGCTCCTCGTCGTCCTCCGAAATGGACGGCAGTGTCAGCGAGTGTGCCGTTTGCATACCGGCGTCCATCTCGTCCTGATAGCCCTCCCGCAGGTTGAACGTCAAGTCGTGGACGATCTCCGTGCAGAAGGTCTCCGCGAACTCCGCGTACAGTTTGAGCACTTCCAGCAGCCCCGGCACGTGTATGCTCTTGAGGTCGCAATAGGTGAGCGCCTTGACGTCGCTGCTCGACTTGATCACGGAGTCGATGACCAGCGACGAGGGTATATCACAGCCGACGAGGTCCCCTTTGCCGAGGATGGCCACCACCATCGAGTCCTGCAGCACCTCCATCGAGCCGTTGCACACGAGAAATATGTTGGACAGGGCGTCGCCCTTATGCAACAGGTATTCCTCCGGAGCGCAGAAATTGCTTTTGATGTGAAGGGAGAGGAGTTTGAGGAACCCCTGGGGAGCCGTCTCGAAGATTGGGAGCGACAGTATCTCGCGATGAAGATGAAGGGATACATCGCATCGCAACTCATCCGGGAATTCGCGCAAAATCTGTGACAAAAATTGTTGTCATTTTTTATTAACGAGTTTTGTTTTATCGCTCTATAAAAGGAGAAATTCAATTCTTTTTATGGGAATCGTTCGCAAGAATTACAGAATTACTGATTCTGTTGTTTTCCAGAAAATAATGTAACATTTAAGTGTAAAGTATAGCTAAATGTTTGAGATTTTTATTTTTATTTTTTTTGATTGAAACCTGAAATGTGTAGTTATTTTGTGGAAATTGTAGCGAAAATTGTTTGACATTTAGGTATAATGTAGAGTGCTTTCAGACCAACTCAATCAGTATAAATTAGTTTCAAAAAACTACATCTGATTAAAGTGAGTAAATATGTCGTGTTTTAAGAGACTGTTTATAGTTTTATAGGAAAATATTTTTAATGAAGAAACACTTTTATAAACAACTTGTTTGTGTAGTTTATAGTCAATATAATTTATAAAAAGCAAAACAAAAACGTCTATCTGTTACTATTCATATGCTTTTAAATAGTTTATTAATACTGTATAAACCTTTTAAATGTCGGAATCAAAATTCATTTATATGTTTCGTAGAATAGTTATTAAATATTTAATTTATGATTATTTAGATCTAAATATAGAAAATAATTCAGTAGTAACAGGATGTAACATATTAAAAAAAATTATGGATTTAGAATTATTATATTTTTATACCAAAATTATTATATAAAACTGATTGTACTGTATTTTATACTGAATGTATATGAAATTTAAAACTTTTATTATAGATTAACAGAATTAACTTTGTTAGAAAATCATTTCAATGCTTTGTCTAAATTAATTATACCTTGTAATTTATATACGATACTGTATTTACTACAGGGAAAGTTAACAAAATACAACTTTAATTGATTCACAAAATTGAAGATTAAACTAAGAAAATATAATATCGTTGACTTTATATTAATATAATGCTATTATAGCTCTTAAGATAAGCTTATTTAAAAATATTAACCGATCACTAAATGCTACTTTATATCCGATCTTTTACTTTGTATGCCGTATGGATACTCTGGACATATTTTATAAACAACTTGTTTGTGTAGTTTATAGTCAATATAATTTATAAAAAGCAAAACAAAAACGTCTATCTGTTACTATTCATATGCTTTTAAATAGTTTATTAATACTGTATAAACCTTTTAAATATCGGAATCAAAATTCATTTATATGTTTCGTAGAATAGTTATTAAATATTTAATTTATGAATATTTAGATCTAAATATAGAAAATAATTCAGTAGTAACAGGATGTAACATATTAAAAAAATTATGGATTTAGAATTATTATATTTTTATATCAAAATTATTATATAAAACTGATTGTACTGTATTTTATACTGAATGTATATGAAATTGAAAACTAAATTTATTATAGATTAATAGAATTAACTTTGTTAGAAAATCATTTCAATGCTTTGTCTAAATTAATTATACCTTGTAATTTATATACGATACTGTATTTACTACAGGAAAAGTTAACAAAATATAACTTTAATTGATTCACAAAATTGAAGATTAAACTAAGAAAATATAATATCGCACTGAAATATAATTATATTACGATAATATCGAGAATTCTATTCGAATAAATTTTTATAATTGGCTAGTGATTTACGATGAAATATAGGCTAGAAAATGAAACATACGGCATACCTATGAGACCTGTATTCTAAAAGTGCATTGGTCATGTATAGTTAGAATCACTTTAAGTGCTATTTCATTTACTTTTCCAAATCTTTTAACATAATAAAAGCAATTCACCAAGTAACATACAACAATATTTTGGAAGCACTAGTCCTTTAATACACAAAAAACTCAATGTTTTATTCAATCCTTTTCGGGAAATAAGTAACCGACGTCTAAATCACGTTGTTTTCTAATTTGTTTAATCACAATTTTTTCCAAAAGTATACTAAGCATCTAGAATTAATTTCACCTCTAGTGTTCAACTATCGCTTACTTTACTAATGTTAAGAAGTTTATTGCAAATGAAAAAATACTAAATTCAGGTTTTTATATGCTGTATAATATTATACATGCTTTGACACTGAATACGGAATATATTCTATTAAATGAAAACTAAATTCTTCATTCAATGTAATGAATGAAATTCTTTATGAGAGACATCAGAAACATTTGATTCATATAGACATACATTATATTAAAACTTACAGTAGGTTACAGTATACTAAAACTTTAATATCATTATTCAAAGCATTTTGAATGTATTTGCGAACGGTTGCGTTGAAATCTCATTTTGAATTAAAATGAATAAAATACAGTTTTATTTTAACGCTTGATTTAATTTCGCTTAAAACTTATTTAATACATACAATAAAAAAAACTGTTAGACCTTGAGATATATTTAAGACACTGTGTATTTGCAATTAAAACTTAATTTACGCAAAATTTGACTCTACTTTTCATAGAAAACTAAATTCAATTCAATTGGTTTTGTAAAAAAATTCAAATATATTTGAATCGCTAAAACAGAAAATAGGAAAAACTTTTCTCGACTAGAAATTTGAAAAACATCCATAAAATCTGAATAATTTAAACGCATATAAACGTGTATTTGACAATCAAATCACAGTGAATTGCATTTTAGAGTACATCCAAAGTATATTTAAAGTCTAATAGTTATTGTCGACATTTACTTCTGCAGCACTTGTCGTGTATATCCCGAAGCCATTAGCGATTGGAAAACATCGACTAAAAAACGAGCGAAAAAAAATACTCACTTCGTTGTGATCGATGCCATTATTGAGAGACCACGTCGTCTGGAAGTAGTCAGTCATTCGTTGTCGCAATTGTTTCGGGATTTGATGTAATTTGAAGAAGTCTTTCAGGTCCCGGAGTCGGGTCTGGTATTGGGAGCGACGGGCGTACATGCGTTGGATGATTGCCGTCACGTTACCTATGGGTTGGATGTAAAATGTTTAGTCAAAAAAAATTGGGGCGACATTTGGGCACCGGTATGGACGCACCGAAGACCACGGCGTGCATAAGCGCTCCGATGAGCATAATTAAGATGGAGAAGACCTTCTCGGCGTCCGTATTGGCCGACACGTTGCCGAAGCCCACGGATGTCAGCGACGATGTGGTGAAGTAGAGGGCAGTGATATACGAGGAGAAGTCCGTCAAGTTATTGGTGACCGTCTCGTAACCCAATTTACTGCTCAACTGATGCAACCATCCTATCAATCATTGATCCAAAAAATGATCATTACATGTATTATTATATGATATTTGTGTCAAATTAATACGAAAAGTTCAGTAAAACTAATATTATGTAAACATTTATTATTAGAGGGGAAAACAAATTCTTGTCTTAAGATTTATTAAAAATATTTCTCCGTTGCCTTCAAAACATCAATGATTTATAGCGCATATTGTTTTTGGAAGCAAATATATTCTGCGATAATATTAGCACCACATAAGGTCTTAAATTTAAAAATATGCGAAATGTATGTTTCAGTTGTTTCTCAATGTGTATGCAAACAAACGCATCAATATTTGTGAAGATTTATTAACTAATCTGAATGAATGGAAAATGCTTTACTGCCTGTCCTTTACCCGTGAATTTCTATGGCATTCATCAATAAATCAGAGGAATTTTCAAATGTTTTATTTTTTGCTGAATAAATTATTATATATTTGTTTCCCTTTTTGTTTGCTCGCATCGTTTTATTAGTGAAAAATTGGTGCCTATTTTTCGCGGATCACAACTCCGATGCCTTTCAATACGGATAAACATATTGATTCAAAAATTGGCTGAAATATAATGCAAACATCTATTTTATATTATACTCAATGGTATACTTGTAACTCTATAGAGGTTATAGTCCTATAATGCTTGTATTCAAACGCATACACTAAACAGAAATTTTTCAGTTTGAAAGGACTTAAGAGCAAATACTTATGAGTTATACCATTTAGAAAACACACAATATATAATATCTATTGAATACCATACGGAATAAATTATCAAAAAAAATATTACTTCAATTCTGATTTATTATATTCTACTCTCATGTTCACATACTATTAACATTAGAAAAAATAATTTATATAATCTATTGTATAAAAGTATGTACAGAATATAATTGTTTAAATTCCTAACAAAATCACAGAATCATAATCTCGGAAATAAGTGTATCGTTTGGATGAACTCTAACTCCCAGAATAGATAATTTGTTTGAAGTAAATTTGATTTTTTAAAAACCTACTACGCCTACGATTATGAGATGCCGTGGTATGACCCCCGCACTTGGTTTACATCATTAAAGCAATGAAATTCTCAACATTTCATTACAACATACAGACAATTGCTGTTTTCATGCCTTTGGCTAAATACTTGCTTTCTCTACACAACAAAAAAGTATCAAAAAAGTAAAAATCGATATAAAATCGTGTTTTTGTGATTNAGGCATCTAATTGTATGAGTTTTCGGTCCATCACTTCTCTCAATGTCTAAACTTTGCTTTTCGTCTAATTAACAAAAGTGATAAAAATATCCACAAATCCATCAAATTCTTTATCCATATAAGTATATGCCTATTGAATACATGGAGCCATAAATTGAATGAAATAATCATTACCGACGTCCCAATTGATGGGATTCAACTCAATCTCCTCGACAGCGATCACATACCAAATGCAGGCCAACCAATGGGCCAGTAGTGAGAACGACAGCATGAGTAGCGTCAGTATTATGTAACTGTACCTAAAGTGGCGTAAAAGATATCGATTTTATAATTTAATCGTAAAATATAGTAAATCACAAAAACATATTCAATGAAAAATTCGTTTCAAAAATCTTATGCATTAAGTTTATCAGCGATATATTGAATATATATATCATATCATATATATATTCTTTATAATGTAGAAAAGATTTTCAAATTTAAATTCAAAATATACTTAAAAAGATATTTAATTTTTGAATTTAATGCCATTTGCAGCACATTAATATTAATGTTACATAAATGCATACAAAGTAATAGGATGTTATAAGAATTAAATTATAAATTAAACATCGGGTATACGGTATTCAAATGTATAGGCAAATTATAAAAATCAATTTATATTTAAAATTTTAATCGTTTTTTATATTAAATATTTATGGCTTTTCAGGAATAAAATATTTACAGTCTATTATATTTGTTTGAAATATAGCCGAAACGCCTCTAATATATCAATAAATTATTTAATGCCTCAAAATCCTCGGTCTATTCACTGGCATTACAAGAGATTTTTTTTCTTATAAGAGATTATTATATAAAAAATATTTCGTAAAAGGAATTCATTGTCGGAGAGAAATGTATCTAAAATACTGCTTCTAATGAACTGTTTAACAGAGTTTTTGATGAATGGTTACCACAAAAACCGGGCAATAAGTGAAAGAATAAGTTGAAGAATAAGTTGAAGAATTTTTCGATATATACTACAAGAAACACAATCTATTGGCGGAGATCATTGCATTCAGACCTTTAGCTTTTGTCTATTTGTCTATTATTACTGATTTAGATGTTATATAAACTATAGGCTTGTGGGCAATGGGTTTAGCTTTTAGATAAATAGAGCTCTACTGTAGAGATGAAAACTTTATCTCATAATAAGACTAAAATCGATACGAGATCTCAAAAGCGCTGTCATTTCAGTTATACACTGTATTATCTTTTCGACAGTAGTGTATACACTATAAAGTCTTATCTATTGTAAAGATGATATCAATTAATTTATTCATTAAATTACATTTTATATCATATATCACATTTGAGA